AAGGTTTTTAATTTCTCATGCATCTGATCAAACATCAACAACCCTATAATATAAAAGTTGCATTGACCGGTTGCTGCAATAATTTAGTTAAATAAAACACTTTTAGGCCTGCAGGATAAATAAGTAATATACATTAGAATAAAACTAAACTCTTATAAATCGAGGCACCTTTTAGTGTAACATTAGAATTTTGATAAAAAAAAACTCCAAAGTTAACCATGCTCATTATGGAGCACTTTTAGGATGGGTGGCCTAATGGTATGTTACACCAACAGGGCAAAAGCATGAGGCTATATGGCCAAAGAGGGCAATACCTTGATGGATGGGAGTTTGTGTTGTCACAAATGAAACCCCTTAAGTAGCTTGAAGTCGAAAACATCCAGGCGCCTTTTGGGATAACAGTGAAATTTCATTGGAAACTCCAAAGTTTAGTGTGTTTTCATGGGAGCACTTATGGGATGAGTGACCTCGATGTTATACCAATGGGACAAAACCATGAGGTTATTAGGCCAAAACTGACAATACCTTGATGGTGAAAACTCTTGTCAGCGCAAACGGTATCAAAGCATTACAACAGCCAGAAATAAGGAACTAAGTGTCATGAAGAACAAAGTGATATGCCATGGGAGCCACCTATTAAACCTAAGATAGAACAAAGAGCTACATGGAGGGAGTCACCTCTTAAATCTGTAAGGGACCTCTCGAATCTTATATGTGTGGTAGATGTTTCTAATTAAGAAAATTGACGAAAACGCCAGCTACTTAAGTGAGGGGAGATTGTGAAACCCATTAAATAGAATGAAGCTGAACTATTAAACATCGAGGTGCTTTTTGATGTAACACTATAGTTATGATAATAAGCTTCAAAGTTAAGTGTGCTCGTCGTGGAGCACTCCTAGGATGGGTGACCTTATGGAAAGTTACACCAACAAAACAAAATTGTGAGGCACTAAGCCAAAGCGGACAATACCATGATGGGTAAGAGTTCAGGTAGTCACACATTACTCTTATTAGATGAGGGCTCAATAATAATTGTCAAAGTGATTAATCAGTTGCACTAATTAGGGAATGAAAATTTGTTAAATGTCTAATGAGCTAACAAGCCCAAGAGATTTTGTGACTCATGTAAAAGATGAAATTATAATTTTAGTACTACTGTATAATTCTTATATTATATAACAATTCATCTTTATTCATTCCCTTAGGTCCTTATGTTATTATCTAAGCTAGCCTAGAAAAAATTATTAATAGTGATTGTAAGTATTATTTTTTTTCAGAATAAATGGATAAGAGTTGGATTAAAAAAAAATCTAAATAGACTTTTGAGTACAAAAGAAAAGTTGACAACTTTTTGGAATTCACAAGTCGAAGCAAAAATGCCTCTAAAAAATTCTTATGTTTATACAAATTATGCATTAATAGATACTTCTACGATGTTAAAGATGTTAAGTATCACTTGATCTATAAGGTTTTTTTTTTTTTTTCTAGATATGTTGTATGGAATATATCTATCTATATCAATCTATATATATAGGTACCAAAAATCAATTCCCTCATTTGGATTACAAACCCGGTGTGTTTGATTTTGATTTGAAGAGCCCGCGCCACGGGATTCGAACCCCCGACCCGAAGGACATATGCCAGTGACCGCACCAATAAGTCAAGTCTTTCGCGCGCGGGCACCCTCCCTCCCTCCTCACACCCCCACACACACACACAGATATATATATATATATATTTGTGTGTATGTGCGCGCGCGTGTGTGTACTATATATAGTTAGTTAGCTAGTTAGTTAGAATTAGCTAAACGAAAACAAAAAAAGAACTTTTGAAGGTATTTTTAAACACTTGATGGTCCAGAAATATTTTATCAGTTCAATGTTTTCCATCCAAATCATTGGTAGCTCTATCCAATTCTCAAATGTGAATATCATTGTTCTGTTTACCCCTTCCGTAAGATTGCACCTATAAGTGATATGCCTTTGCAAGTTAAGCAAATCGCACTTTTCACCCTTGCCACTGGTCCATTCATTAGCACTCGTATTGGACATGGGATTTTGATTAGTCTCGTACAAGGTCCCAGACTTGGCTTTGCATATGGACTTTGTTGTTCCTGACATCAAATGGAAAAGCAAATGGCAGCAAAATCATAATGGTCATGAAGATGGCGAAACAATCGTGCGAGATGACGACACAGATGTGTGGGCGACAGATGGGTCGGTGAATTTCGAGCATGAGACCTTTTGGTGCGGGAGAATATAGCCAACCAGACAACTAATCCTCTCATTCTCATTCTCATGTAATGTTTCTAAATTCCCCCTTTTTTAATATGATGATCTGATATATCACATGATTTTTTCCCAAAAACAAATAAAAACTATCATCAAAAACTTGTTCTACTGTAAGTTGGTAACTTTGACAGTAGTAAAATATATTTTGTATGCACGGTAAGATGACATGTATGTAAAAATTGAAATTTACGTGATAGACATAAATACATAAAAGTTGAGTGATATGCATGCAAATCTTCCTAAAACTTTATTGCAAAAATCTCATTTTGTTGAGAACATATACTGCAGAGATTGTATCAACAACTCAAAAGAGCGAAAGAAGAGCATATCAGAGCGAAAGTCTATGTTTCTAATTCTCATGTAGGAATTTCAGAATAGCAGCAACTGAAAATTTTCACAAACAGTAGCCAATTCTTGATTATGGATATGGAAAGCTTATTGGTGCTAAAATCTGAAGTTTGAATAGATTTTGTTGGAAGTAATATTTGTGATGACAGTACAACATAGAGAAAGTTCAGTAGCTTTAGATTTTTGTGGCGGCTGGTAAACCGCTGCTAAAGCTCTTTATCATGCATAACAATCACAAGAAAATCTAAATGTGAAAAGGAATAATAAGTAAACCTAACTCAATAGAAGGAATCCACAGTATAAATGACATTATACAAGTATGCTCCTCTCCATAATAAGAAAATACTATATTTTGTGAGGGCAAAGAAGCACAAATTTGACCTCCTCTAAATAATACAAAGTTATTGACAAAATAATAATAAAAAAACATTTACTATTTCTAGGTGATGTAATTTTTAGCAAAAAAATCATTGAAAATTCAACTAATAATAATTATAAAATTTTTAACCTAAGTTTGAAGTCCTCATTTCCCCTTCATGAGCTCTTATCACTGTCAAAGCTCCTTATTTATGGCTAGCTTCAATAGCTCAATTTCAATCCTTTTTCTTCTCTCAAAGATCTAAAGTTGGATCATATAATTTATCTCCTCAGACCTTTAATTAAAAAATCCATGTATGGACTTTCTAATATTTGCATTTGAAGTTTGAAAATGTTTTTTAAGAATTCTTACATCTATGGTCTATGTTACATTTTATCTTGATGCCCTACATTTTCATGTTTTTGTTTGTGTTGAATCATTTTGAAATGTAGAATCCCGTGTTGTTTATGGTACCACACAATCCAGTATAAGTTTTGGAATGCCTCATGTATCAAGAGGAAGGCATGAGAAAAAATGAGTAGCCTCATAAATTCACCCCTTGTTTCAGAAAATTGACAAAGTTCTTTAGGAACATAGCAAGAGAAAGAGAGAGAGAGAGAGACCTAGAGCCTCCCATCTCAACAAGATGTATGACCCCTTATAACCCATAGGGCCTATTCTCTTGCCTCTCAGAAACAATATGCTCCCATCCCCTAGGCTAGCTTATCTGAAACACTTGATGGGAAGAAATTAATGAAGGCTTGACCTCTCCTTGGTGCACAAACCAATGTCAGCGATATGATGAGCTTCCTTTGTCTCATGCAGCAAATTTAACCTTAAAAATTGCTAATACATTCATTGATGATTGAACATTGTTTCTAGTTAGATTAGGCTAGTTCAAATGATTAAAGGCTACCACCAATAATCACAAATTAAAAAAAAAATTTAAAAATGATAACTTGAACAATAACTTAGGGTTAAAACTTTATTTTATAGATTTGGACTTTTGGTAATTAATGGGCATTGCAACATGTTTTAAAAAAAATTAGAGAAATTTGACTATCATTAGTAATCCATTAAAAAAAAAAATTATACATATATTTTCTTCATTTATGATGATTTTTTTTTCTTTTAAAAGTAAGCAAATTTTTGCATTATAAAGAACATTTGAGATATAATTAATAGTAAAGATTGGGCATTAGTCAATAATAGTCAAACTACAATCATATGATAATCATACAACAATAATTAATGTTACTCATGATATTCATGAAATTGCAATTGCACAATAGTAACTATCTGAATATTATGTTTAACAATGCTCTATAAATATACAAGCCTCTAAACTCACTTAGAAATAAGAACTGGGAATTATATATAATATTTTTTTTATTAATACTTGGAACTGAACAAAATACTTTTTGATACCCTATTTAAATATTTCTAAAAAGATTTCTCTAAGCATTTAGGGGAATCCCAAAGAAAACTTTGGTGAAGATAACTTTTAAAATTTGACTAACACCAAATGTCAATCAACCAAAGACATTGATTATGATGCGCTAATCCTTTTATAAAATGAAACATTTTAACCAAACTAATCACTCCCTATATTCAAAAGAGCAACTATCATCTTATTCACCTCCATCTCCCACCCCATAACCCATTGATCGATTTCAAGGTCATCTAACCTTCCAAATAGCAGAATGTATATCCAAATAAAACATAACCCAACAAACCATCCAACTAACTAAAACACAGAATGTATATCTCACCTTCTTCCAACAATCCATCATGCATGAATTTACAAATAAAAACATCTAAAAATTTTAGAACATACACCAAAAAAATTGTAACTTTACCAAATTGACATCTTTTAGGTTTCATGTATTGATAAGCACTAATTCGAAAATCAAACACATTCATGAAAGAGCACCATCACTTAATCACATATACAAAATAAAGGACAAAAGAGGGGGGAAAAAAAGATGCAGAGCTCAGAATCCTGATCATTACCAAAACCATAGTGACAAAACATTTCATATCATCAAAAAGCCACCGAAATCTAAGAACTAGTAAACTTAGTAACAGCCTTGGTACCCTCAGAAACGGCATGCTTAGCAAGTTCACCAGGAAGAACGAGGCGAACCGAAGTCTGGATCTCCCTGGAGGTGATTGTTAGCTGCTTATTATAACGAGCGAGGCGAGAGGCCTCATGGGCTAGCTTCTCGAATATATCGTTAATGAACGAGTTCATGATGCTCATCGCCTTGCTCGAGATTCCGATATCTGGATGGACCTGCTTCAAGACCCTGAAGATGTAAACCTTGTATGTCTCAGTTCCCTTCTTAGCCCTCTTCTTCCTCTTCTTGTCGCCCTCCTTCGAGGACGGAACGCGCTTCTCGGCACGAGGTTTCTTGCCGGCGGGGACCTTCTCGGCTACTTCTGCTTTCTTCTCTTTCTCGTCGGCAGGTTTCTCCGCGGCGGCGGCGGGTTTCTTCTCCGCGAGTTTTTTGTCGGCTTTGGGCGCCATTTGAATTTGTGAGGGAAATTGGGGTTTGGTGTTTTTGAATTCGAATGCGCGGAAGAGTTTAATAGAGAGGTGAGCCGCTTTGTTATTGGATAGGTGGTATTGTTGCGGATAAATGAGCTGTCATAATTTATAGCCGTTGAGATTTTGGAGGGATTAGTTGTTTGGACGGATGAGATGGGAAATGCCGTTGAGATTGTGGGAGCATGTACCAGAGGTCATCTCAACCATGTATTTGTTTTTTAATGGTTCAGATGTAGTTTTAATTATTCATACTAAAAATTTATGTTTACTTGGTATGGGTCAAATTGAGGAGAGAAGTCAATATAAAGGTGGCAATGGTAATTAAGCATGTAAATGAATCAATGCACTCGTGGAATAACTTAAACTCGACTCAAATAGTAAATAAAGAAGTTCGAACAATTTTTAAAAATAACAAAATAAACATGAATTTAGTAGCACTTATTCGCTTATGTTCACGAACAAGCTCGTTTGTCGTACATCAAGTAAGTTGTTAAATACTTGATATTATATATGATATATATAACTCCAATTATATATATGATATGTATTATTTATATATAAATAAATTAATTAGTATTTGTATAATTATATATTTATTAGTAATATATTAATTTATTAACAAGATTTATATTTTTATTTTATTAATAAGTGAATGATAATCTAGAATGGGATATTTACACTTAAAGAAAATATCATAAAAGATTTTTTATAGATTTTATATAACATTGAAAGTAATGGGTTCATTTTTTTATGACCATCACACTGCAATTACTAATAACATTGTTGCTATTATTTTCTTATTAATATGATTAATTAAATGATTATTCATATAACTTTTACGATCAATTTAGTTCGTCACTTAAGAATTTGGACAAATGTAGTCCTATCAATCAGAAGCATGCAGCTAATTAGTAAATTTTAAAGATTTTAGAGTTCATAATCGACGAATTAATAGATGTGATTATAATTGCAAAATTATTTATTAATTTTTTTTATATGAAAATATAAACTTGGTTTGAATTTATAGCTTCTTTAAATACTAGTTCACTTGTCATAAAGAAATCAAGTTCAAACGTTGAAAAAATCAAACAAAACAAGTTTAAACAATGTATGAAAACTCGACACAAGCTTAAACCGAATATGAATAACTTAAAATCATACCAAGCCAAGTTCAAACAATGATATGCTCAGCTCGGCTTGGCTCGATTACAAACCCTAACGACAATGACTAGTGGGTGAAGTGGTTGGCAATAAGTTGTGGCCACGCTTTAGGGGTAGTAATAGCATTTAAGTTGCGTCGATGGGAGGATTAGACATATGGCGATGGTGGCAAGCAAAATTTTTTATATATAAATGGTGTATTTAAAATTCGCTCAAATCCTACTAATTTCAACAGCATTAAAAATAAATTAGAGGATGAATTCAAAATGCATTATAATTTTATTTGAAAGCTATGTTTTCACAATAGATGTTGTTACCTGCAGCAGCTCCTTGAAATTGGTGGTCTGACTTTTTCAAAAAAAAAAAAAAATTTAATAACCACTGCAACTTTTTGAACATCAACTTCTTTTTCAGCAGTTTCACAGATGCTTCTTCAAACAGCTACAACTGTCCCAAACAGACCCTGAATCGATTTAAGCCAAAAATTACATATGATTTAGGTAATATTTAGCAATCAACTCAAACTCATCGCTCTAATAATTAAGACATCTCAGTGGATCATTCAAAACGAAATTTGTCAGGAATATTCCCCTAGTGTTATTCAGATGTTATTATGTGTTATTCAATTATTATTAATGTGTTATTGTGTTATTATAACACCGTGAATATTCTAAGAATACAATAACAACTTAATAATATACAATAACAACTGAATAATATATAATAACACATGAATAACACGAATAACACAAGAAAAATATTCTCGGTCTCTTTTACCAAAATATTCTTACAAATTTGCCAATTATACATCTCCCGAAATGTTATCAATGATTAACAAAGAATAAGTGTCGTCTGTCAATTATTGTTCTGTCAAATCTGAATTTTCGACGTCCGGCTCCAGAATTCCTGGGGAACACCCAGGTAAATCAGAACCATACACGTGGCCCATTTTGATTCGCTTGGTTTCCAAATATCTCTGATTTTCCATGGTAATTGGGGTGATGATAGGAATCCTGCCGACTACCGCGAGGCCATAGCCCTTAAGGCCGGTGAATTTGGCCGGATTATTCGTCATTAATCGCATGGTTTGGACGCCAATGTCCCTTAGTATCTGCACATTAATTTACTTTTAAGGATTCATAATAATATAACCACAAATAATCACAGAAAATATTTACATACATACCACTCAATTCCTATGTATTTACATGTCTAACTCTCAAACGTCAATTTTTACGTACACTCTATGGGTGCAAGTAAGTTGAGCCGGCTTGAGACTGGTTCAATAAGTGATTCGTGAATTGAGCTCAATGAGCTAACAAGTCATGCTCAAGCTAGTCCTGATCCGGCTCGTTAGCTCTTGAACCAACTCGTATGAAAAAATATTAATACAAAATCTATTTAAACTATATTAAATTTGAATACTTTATCTTTAAAGTATTAAAATATTTTTAAAAATAATATTTCGTATTTTATATTAAATAATTTATTATTATTTCTATCTTAATTATTGCTAATTCTATTTATCATTTTATTATAATACTATCTTAAATTAATATTACTTTTTTATTTATATAATAAATAAGTCCACTGCAAGCCAGCTAATACTCAAAGACTAGCTCTACTAAAATTAAAATGGTGGTATTACTAATGAGAACATAAAAAAAATTTGGCCCGATTTGATGTAAAAACAAAATTTAGCTATTAAATTTGTAAATACAAAGAAATTGGAAGGTATAAAGAAAATATTATGTCCGGTGTCCGGACGTGCAAAAATTTTTCTGTGAGGACTCCTGACGTACCTCTATATGCGGCGCAGGGTATTCTTGAGTTATTTTCAAATTATTTCTGGGTTATTCTCAATAATTCTGAAATAACCCAGAAATAACCCGCGAGTTATTTCAAATTATTGAAAATAACCCAGAAATAAACTGAAATAACTCAGAAATAACATGCACCGCACGTAGAGGTACGTCAGGTGTCCAAACAGAAAATGCACGCCGGGACGTGATATACCTTTTTTTTTTTTTGCATCTGTTGTCCGGATGTAATATTTTTTAGTATGTATGACACCCAATTCTTTTGCATTTACATGTATATCACTTTAAAATTTTGATTTTTACAAACACAATACCTAATTCTTTCCTATCACATCAAAAAAAACACTAATCATGCATCCACATTTTAATACATAGACAAAATACTGACTCTGCAAAAATGCCTAAATACATAAGAACTGGGCACTACCATGCATATAAATTGTTGAAAAATAAAAAAATAACAATAAAACAAAACAAAAATGACCGAATGCAAACCATGAAAATCTATTGTTTTTAACGAAGTAAGAGCCGAGAAACATTACCTGCGCCCCAAGTCCATACTCTCTTGCATCAACAGCTAAGCCAAGCTCCAGATTAGCCTGAACAGTGTCATGGCCAAGGTCCTGCAGATTATAAGCCCGAAGCTTGTCTCCCAGACCAATTCCTCTGCCTTCATGTCCCCGAAGATAAACAACAACACCTCTGCCTTCCTTCTCGATCAGCCGCATGGCTGCATCCAGTTGGTTGCCACAGTCACACCGAGCTGACCCGAGCACATCTCCTGTCAGACATTCAGAATGCACTCTCACCAGAACATTCTGCCCATCTCCAATTTTACCCTGATCGGATTGTTTCAAGTTTTTACAATAGGAATCATATCCATCTATGTATCAGAACTTATATAGCAACAATGATATATTTTCAAGAAGTATGAAGTCAGCAGCCACATTCAAGTGCAATAAGCTAGGAGTTAATGATCATACCTTTACGACAGCAATATGCTCTGTTCCATCTAACTTTGATCTGTAGCAATGAGCCTGAAACAAGCCCCATTTGGTTGGCAAGCGAGAGACAGCAATTTTTTCTACTAACTTCTCGCGCTTCCTTCTGTATCTAAGAAGGTGAACATGGAGGGACTTATATAACAGTTAGAAGTATATAAATGTGTGGATGTTAGAGCTTGTGACTTTAAAATGTAAGAAATATTGGATACATAACACAAAATTCTTATTTGTTTAGATATATAACCCCCCAAAGTTTGACATTTATGCTTGTTAACATTTTGGTGTCATATGCTTGTGCATGGAAGACTGTATTTTTACTTTTTAAAAGGTAATGATAATGGTGTTTTTGATGTGTTGTTAAAGATTTGAGTGATATGTATGTAAAAATGAATGCTTCGGTGTTAGATATGTGAATGCATGAGAAAGAATTGTGTGGTATGCATGTACAATTTTTTTGTGATATGAATAAGGGATTGGGTTGACAGGCTCATCATTAATCCCATAAGGGCGCAATCTTCGTGGTATAGATCTTTATTAATTAAGGTTTTGTTGAGCTCATTTTTTGAGGGCGGTCACCCTCCATGCACTCTCTAGGGGCTTCGAAAATTCAAAAATATCTCAGACTCTCATCAAGAGCATAATGTGTTAAGTTTTGAGTCAAAATTTCAGAAGACAAATGAGATGGTAGATAAGACACTACCAAAAAATTTCGCCCTCACTTTGCAATGATTTTAATATCTAGGTTTCAATATTTCCTATAGGCATGAGCTCCTATGGTTCTGATAACCAGAAAATATTTTTTATTAAACTTAGTCATTAGATGTTAGGTATGCAGACTTATCTTATAGCATCAACAAATTTTTAAATTTTAATTTATAAAAATGATTACTGATAGCTTAAAGCAGGTAGTGAAGTAAAACATACGAACTCAATCAAGATCTCATAGTTTCATCATCCCGAGTTGTCATGGTTCAGATCTACTTAGTCAGCAGAGTTTCATGGCTTATTTAGTTTAGCGAAGGTAGTCGACCCAACTTGACATAAATATTCTTGTTAGAAACCATAAGTTATTTCGTCCAATGGGATCATGTAGATCTGAGGTGAATGGTTGTCTAAGGGGAGTAATCTAAGTTGAACTTAGTTTACAGAGGGTTTTCGCCCTATCAAATATATCCTATGATTCAATACTCAAAATGACAAACTCTTATTGGGAGAACATCCGTGCTACAACCATGACTTTAATATAATGATGTCATTTAGTATTAAAGCACTAAATTAGAAAATTCTGGTCGTAACCACTTCTTGTGTTGTCATTTTAGGGCAAAATCACACAAACAGAAGACTCAAACCACAATATTACTAACATAAAATTATTTAGAGCTTGAATTTGGTAGTATTTTTAATATGACATTGATTATTTGTGAGCTCGAGTTAATATTATATTTATTTACTCTGACCAAAAATTGTGGAAGACGGTTGGGTTTTGCTTTAAGCATTTAGTATTGATTTCATTTAAATATTATTTTATTTTGATGATGTAACGATCTTATCTTATGAATAACTTCTTTCTGGTTGAGGTGTGCAATGAATATGCTCATCATCGGGGATTTGTTACTTAAATATTATTACGTGCATCAATCCTATCAACTTCAGTCCTTGTGAAAAGGAGAATCAAACTGACTTAGTGATGCTCAATCTTATCAACTCCAGTCTCCATAGGGAGAAGAATTGGACTGGCCATAATGTGAAACTTACAACCTTACTTTATACGTCGGGCCCGTTTAAGAAAATAAATAATTATATTTGAATTTGACATTCAAAAATTAGATTTTTGCAAAGCTTTAGATTGTGCCACAATTTTTGATATACATTTAATTTTATCTTAAACATGTGTTTGACTCGCAAAACACTCTCAGACGATTAAGTTATAGATTTTGAGTTATTCTCATAGCACATGCGGGTGTAATATGTTGATTTGAGTTAATTTTTAAATAATTTTGTATGCACGTAGAGATAAGTTTGATTTTGAATTTAAACATATATTTTAACCCATGCAACGTTCTCGAACACGCTCGCACTGTATTTTTCATGATAGAAAGTAGTTCAGGTGAAGTCGGTGGTGATCGAAATGATTCGATCCCATTTGTGTACCACACATCGAGAATTTATCATTTTTCACTCTATCTGACTATCTTGATTAGGAGATGTCTATCCTTATCCAACTCCGACTTTCCAAACACGCTCGCGCAATGTGTTTGGTAATAAGATGTTGTTTTAGCCGCTTTGACAATGTTTGAAGTCAGTTGGTCATAAACTGCAAGCCGTTGCATTCGTTATTCGCCATATGCCTGATTGACTCAACTTATGAAATATATTTCTTGGTCAAGACTCTCCACTTATAACTCTTCTTTTCTTCAATATAACGGATTCCTTAGCATTTACCCGTTGTTTTTCCGTTCATGAGTTTTTCGCATAAATTTGGGTGTTTCTTAATTGGTGTTCTGAGACTTGTCCCTTTTCTTATTATCCTTTACTTAATTTAATGCTTTTATTTATTTATTTTTAATAATAGGTGAGTTATTAAATTTTATCTTCATTTTGAGTATATCTTCTAATCATTATTTTAAATATTCAAAACACAAAATTCTATCTTGTTATTATGTGAAACCTGGTCGTGTTAATCGAATGTTATCACAGTCATCAATTTCATCTATCAAGCTTGATAGTAAGCTTGTTGGGGGTACAGGAAATTGTGCGCCCCTTTATTTGATTCAGGGGCTTTTGTAATTTATTCCCCCTGCATAACACCTTAGCACCCAACTTGCAGAGCCCCCACCCGAGACTAGCTCTCAGAAGAACAGTCCGAGAGCACGACATTAAAAAACCTGAATGTAGCACCCAAACTCTCGTTAGAGCACTTGACCACTTTTGGGCCATTTATTATTTATTGTTTCAATTTTGGTGATTTAGGGTGAATTGAATTTTGAATTCTCTGATGCAAAGGAGATAAGAGGAGTATCTTGGAGTGTTGTAAAGTGTGGAGAGGATTGAGTATGGGGTATATATTACTATTCTCCTTATTTTCATCCTAGTGGATTTCTTTGTATGGCGTGTCTTTATATTTCTTCTCCATTCTCGTATTCTTTTTTTCATTTTAAATCTTATGTTTTCAACTATTTCTTATTTTGCGGGCTTCTGTTCAAATTTTTTCTTCAAATCTCTCAAATCAGTTTATACAATTTTGATCTCCCAACATATTTTTCCTACACTTAAAATATTTCCTTTTCTGAGGCATCTAAAATATAATCATTTTATAAGGGGGTGTTTGGTACGATACTCTTAACAAGATTGAAGTTAGAGTTAACTTAAATCTAGCCAAAGAGCATAAATAGGTTAGATAAATACGCAGTTAAGTTAAATCAAATTTTTTGTTTGTTCCATTAATTAAATTCGCAGTTTCAAAATCCACTTATGTTATTTTGACCCCCAATTAATGAACTAAGGTAAAAGGGCACTTTTGTAATGTGGTACCGCTCACCTACCACATCTCACCAACCGCTCACCTACCGC